ATGTACTGTGCTTGCTGGCAATGCTCTGCCAATATATATTTAGGGTGGGCGGAGGGAGCCTCCTCCCTGGTCCCCAGTGGGTTGGGGGGAAGCTTGCCAGGGGAGTGGGGGCTTTTCCCTGGGCAGGGAGAAGCTGGGTGTTTGCTTGGGCAGGGTGTTCTCAGCCTGGGGGCAGCTGAGCAGGGGGGAGAGGGAAGGCAGGGAAGCTGGCTGGCAGGGCTGAGACAGCTGGCCAGGCTTCCAGAAAACCCCAGGGCTTCTTCCAAGGAATGTCCAAGGCTGGAGAGGGGCAGAGAGAGGGGTCAGCACTGAGAGGGGGCGGCTGATGTGGGGAGAAGCTGGCTGGAAGGTGGCCCAAGGATGCTTTGGCACAGAGGGACCCCAGCGGAGGGGAGCTATTCCAGGCCAGCACGGGTCCGGGAGGCAGGGTCAGGGCCAGGCGAGTGCCAAGACGCAGTGACAAACACAAACAACTCCCTTCTCCTGCTCTTCTGGTTGTGATTTCTGTTCCTGACATGCAAACCCTGCGGCCCCCCCCCCCCTCTCCCCTCCTTCTCCCCAGCTGGGCGAGGGCTGGCCTGGCCGCGGTAATGAAATGCAGAGCTGCTTGGGAGAGCAGCGGGGGGAAAAAAAAAAAGGCTCTGAGGTTTTGTGCCTCTGGTTTCCTCTGGCCCTCTTTCCCAGCAGGGTGATTTATTGGTGATGGAGCCTGGGGAGAGGGGGAGGAAAGGGCTTGGAGTTGCAGGCAAATAGTCAGTCATCATGTATTTCCCAAGCGCTCACGCGAGGGAGAGGGAAAAGCGGGATGAGAGGAAGGTAAACTGCCCGGGCAGGGGTTGTAGAGCATCATTTACTGGAGCTGAGCTCTCCTGAGCTTGTCTCTGTCTCTTTGAGGTGGTGTTGAGCCCTTTGCACGCTGAAGGACTGCCTTTGTGGTGGATGTGCTCTCCCTCCATCCCAATTTCCCCACCTTCCCTTCATCCTGGCTTTCCTGCTGGGCAGTCAGTGTGGTCCTGAGATGGTTGCTCCCCGAGTGGGCTCTTCTGGCCCAGCCCAGCCTGTGGGGCTTGGACTTACTTCTCCGGTGCAGGCGAGGGGGGACGGTCCATCTTTTTCCCCCTTTCCTGAAGCCATGGGTAAGGAAGAC